GCTACAATCCAAAAAGAAATCAGTAATAGTATGAAAATCCTGAAACAAGAGTTCATCACTGTTACGAATAATTTAAATGAACAAAATGAAAATAGAAAAAAGGAAATAGAGAACTTAAATATAAAAATAGAACAGCTAACCAAAGAAAATGACTCTATGAAAAAACAAATGGATGATATTATCACCAAAACCAGCTCCGGCCTCACCAGTAACAACACTGAACAGAATTATAAAAAAATTGTAATCCATGGCTTTGCTGAACACTATAGAGAACCTGAAGGCAATCTATACAACAGATTACATCACCTGTTCCAGGATATTCTGCACGTAGATTTAACAGGATACATTGAAGATACCTACAGAATCGGCCGATTCAACAAAAATTCTACACGCCCCCTTGTAATAGAATTAATCAGCAAAAGAATGACCAAATACATCATAAATAATAAAGAATGTTTTCAAAACACTAGTTTCTCAGTGTCAGAGTTTTTAGATAAGACTGCACGTATTGCCAGGAAAAAAATGATTGATGAAATGTACTTGGCACGGAAAAGCGGTCACTATGCTATAATAAAGAATAACCAGCTATTTATTGATGGAAAACGAGCTTATCTCAAAAATAAAAAGGAAGTTGCCCAAGAAGACCAGACAAATGTGTCTACAAACACAGAAAATAAAAGAGATGTTGCCCACAAGGACCAGAAGAAAGAGACAACAAACACAGATGAAGCCAAAAATGATATTCACCAGCAACAAAATAAAGACGGCAAGCGTACATTTCGTGGCCACAGATCAACATTTTAAGATCCTATACCAAAATATGCAAAGCTTATATAATAAGCAACACCTACTGGAGCAGTTTATTGACCAGGATCCAACATATCAAGCTATNGATTTCCGCAAAAAGGTAGCAGGAAGGCGCTGGACGCAGGCCGCTACCAACCGGGCAACATGCAAAGCATTGGGGAGGCCTATGTTCACCAGTGGACGTCCTATGGCTGAGATGATGATGATGATGATGATCAAAGGATACTAAAATAATAGTTCAACGGAAGTCCACTTTTATTATCCAGGTCATCTTATCCATGGGTGATCAAAGGACACCAAATTATCGCCTGGGGTTCACTTCGATCACCTGGGTGATCAAAGTGTAATGGACCATAAACTTAAGCAAGTGATTTATATTTATTACTTATACCTACTTTTTGCACAAAAACACTGTACAGTGGCGGACGTAATGCCACTGATTGAGATGGCTCTTCGTCAATAAGTCCGCCATTTAGTGCAGTTCTATACCTACTTATTCAATGTATGTTAGAAACTTACCTACATCTTTATGTACAAGTGAGTAAGGTTCAAATTTAAGTACCTATCATTTCCCTCGAAGATAAGTGGTAGGTATGCACCGTAATTTGGTGCAATCAATCTAACCGTTACTAAGGTTTCTACACTAGACACTTATTGGCCCATGCTGAATTATAAATGCCCTGTAATTTAGAACCATATTGATAAGACTTCAATCGATTGATGTACCTACCTAAGTGAAGTAACTTCATAAAATTAAAAATTAACATTCATAAAATTCATTTATTTTTGCAAATAGGCTTTTAAAAAAGCACTTTTACACGTCCCAATATTAACCCTACCACTGCTTCGGGACAATAAATGGGCCAGTGCTGAGAAGAAACAGCGCAAGAAACTCAGTCACTATTGTCAGCCTTCTTTTCAAGGGTTTACAGTCTTTAAAATATACAAATTATAGCGAGCTAGGCATTTAAACATTCCAAACATTTTTATCTTTTATACAGGGTGACTGGAACTGAACCCGCCATAGCTAATACGCGTATAGAGGAGGTCATTTGCTAATTATTGAACCTTACTTTCTATGACTAAAGTTTTATAGTTTAGGAGATATCACAATTTTTATACTTGTTTCAGATTTTCCCGAAATTTGACCTAAAAACTGCTTTAATTTTTTTTTCTCGCATGATTTTAACCGATTTTTTTATTTGATACTAATATCGAATAAACCTTTAGTCAAATAAAATAAATTTCAGATCTAGATAATGATTCAGCAACTAGTTACGAGCCGCCAAAGTTCAACAAAAGTACAAACCACGATAAAAAATTCAAATTCGATTTCGATTTATGAAAAAACTAATGGTGATAATGGATTGCCAATGATCTTAAAAATATCTCTACCTTCTCTTCTTTCCAATGACATATCACACGTAGTAATTAGATATTGAAATTTATTAAAAACTAGCTTTCCGCCCGCGGCTTCGCCCGCGTGGAATTTTGTCTGTCACAGAAAAACTTTATCGCGCGCGTCCCTGTTTCAAAAACCGGGATAAAAACTATCCTATGTTCTTTCCCGGGACTCAAACTATCTCTATGCCAAATTTCATCAAAATCGGTTGCGAGGTTTAAGCGGGAAAGCGTAACAGACAGACAGACAGACAGACAGACAGACAGACAGACAGACAGAGTTACTTTCGCATTTATAATATTAGTTGGGATTCAATGTTTATGGAAGAAAATGGAGTAATTTACGAAAATTATCCATACAAAGTTTCTTCAAACAACTCATATTTTCTGCTATACTCCTTTTCATAACTATTTTCGTGTTTTTTTTAAAAATGAATTTAAAAATAATAATCACATTATAAAGAAAAAAAAATTAAAAAAATTCAAAATCAACTTTGTATGGATAATTTTTGTATTATTACTCCATTTTCTTCCATAAACTTTGAATTTTTGATAAATTTCAATATCCAATTACAACGTGTGATATATCATTGGAAAGAAGAGAAGCTGGAGATATTTTTAAGATTATTGGCAATCCATTATCACCATTAATTTTTGTTTCAATCGAATTTGAAGTAGAATTTTTTATCGTGGTTTGTACTTTTGTTGAACTTTGGCGGCTCGTAACTAGCTATTCAATCATTATCTGGATCAGAAATTTATTTTATTTGAATAAAGACATATTCGATATTAATATCAAATAAAAAAAACTGTTGAAATCACGCGAGAAAAAAAATTGAAGCAGTTTTTAGGTCAAATTTCGGAAAAATCTGAAAAAAGTATAAAAATTGACATATCTCCTAAACTATAAAACTTTAGCCATAGAAAGTAAGGTTCAATAATTAGCAAATGACCTCCTCTATACGCCTATTAGCTATGGCGGGTTCAGTTCCAGTCACCCTGTATAATCATCAACTTTATAGTAGCCCTTTTTCATTAAGGTGCTTTTGATATGTGCTTCGTTTTGAGATATTAAAAATTGTTTACTACTAAGTAAGACATCACTTATTTTGATTCGTCGGCGTAGCGTGCGGTGTGTTTACAACGCACGCAGTCAGTCCTAGGTTCGATCGTTTAGGCTGACGCCAAACGAATATAATGTCCGTAGCGAATAAACGTTTAAGTTCCAACACATTTTGCTTCGTTATGTAGGTAGCTCATACAGAACTTTCATGTCATCAAAACGCATCGTTTGACCTCAGCCATAAGTTATGGCTGAGGTCAAAAGGTTATGGCCCATAACCTTTTACGATTGATGACGTGGTAACTCTTACTTAAATAGGGTACCAAAAATAACTGAAATCTTAATGGATAAAATTTCAGATTTATTTTTCAGTTACAATTGCTCAAAATTATAACTAAGTATGTAGGACTTAAGTAGGTATTTACTTATTTATTACTTACTCGTGGCTGTGGGTCGCGTCGCGGTATCATAAATATTGAGCTATTGAAATTAATTTTAGCTGCTTTAACAACACATTAACTTACCTTATAACAAACATAATAATATATTTTTCATGTTGCTTAGAGACTGCGTAAGCCATACATTATTTATGTAGTAACTAAGTAAGTACACGTAATGTAACATTTTGTCATAATAGTGTGAAACCTACGTTATTTAATTTAATGCGCCAAAGTCTCGAAAACATTGAACAACAAGACGTGTGACTGTGACATGCCACGACTTGTGGCACGACCCTAGTGCATGATGCGTGAATGCGATTATGAACGCTGGCGCAAGGTCAAGATCAAGGCGAAAGAAACTAATTTCGTTTGCAAGGATCACGTGCCAAAGTCCCATCTGATAGGCAATGGGCTTGGGCAATATCGTAAGAGATTAATGACATGATAAAATGTATTAATTAAGGAATTATGTGATACAAATTGATTGAACGGTGTCAGTTTAAAAACTAATTTACAATCAAAGAGATGTTTACTCAATTACATCGTACTTAGGTCGTCAAAATATGTTAGAAGTGTTTATTTTATTTACATAGGAAAACAAACACATAAATAACACATTCTATCTGATAAAAAGCCACCAAATATATGTTTTCCCAAACAATAGCTGTTAGTCGAACGAACGAAACCATAAAGGGTTTTCCTGATTGCCAAAGTCTCTTGACTCGGACTATATGTTTGCATTTCGTAGCATAATGACATGTTTGGTATTCGTAGACGGCTCTGCTACGACATCTACGACGATCGACGATACCTACTACGAGATAGTTTTCGTAGCAGGACCATAGAGTGGGCCCCGGCTGGCGATAACATAATATTTACGTAATAATATGATTAATTACTAACTTCCTTGTCAATATAACACATTAATACAAATACAGACGTTAAATCCTGTTAAATTAAATTCGATTAAATTAATTAGCTGGGTCAGCTCTAACACATAGAAATCGATAGTCGTATAGTTATCAAACATTCAATATGAGAAAATATGAACAAGTCCAGCCTACTACACCTTAGGACTATATTTTTTAGTTTTATCAAGTAACTAACTAATGAATGTAGAGAAGAGATCTTTTATGAACCGAAATCCATGTTCTTGTGCATCTCTACTATGCTCTCTATTTCTGTATTTTTCTGTGTTATTTGTACAAGAAGATATCTACCTAGGCACTTATCTCTACCTATACGAGAGTAGTGACACCTCACCGTGAGCCGTAGTTTCGGCAATTCGGCTCTGGGCGCGGGCGGGCGCGGCGTAATCGCTATCACTCACTGATAACGGCAGTCGCACCACCGCCGCCCGCCAGCCGCCCGCGCCATGGATCCCACGAAGTTCCCCGTACACTTCGACGGGAAAAATTACGACATCAAACGCTTCCTACGCGACCACCCCGGCGGGGTAAACACCCTAAAAAAATACAAGGGCAAGTCCATAGAGCAGGCCATGAGCGCGTACGGACACAGCACCAGTGCTTACCACATGTTGAATGACTTCGAAGTGAAAGATGTGAATTTGACAGGCAAAGTGAGTGCGAACGGCAGGATCATCACTAAAGAGGAGTCCTCGAGGAATGCTGAGGAGATCGCGATGTTGGAGGAGCTTGAGGTAACTAAATTAGTTACGGTTGAAGATAACTATTCAAATGATAAGACGGAGGTGTTTGAATTTTTATAAGTTAAATAAGTAGGTTAAGATAGTAAATAGAGTTCTTCAGTGGTGTGCGAAAGTCCTTAAAGCAGAGAGTTAAAACCATTTATTTAGTTTTTATTTACTGACTCTTGCAAAACAAACAACTTTATAATTAAGTAAGTAATGTTATCGAGGGCAAACTTAATGCGATCTAAAATAAATGGTGTAGGTACGTACAGGTGGAAATTTTCTTAATTAAATGCTGCTCCTTAAGAGGAAGTTGCTAATGGAAATTAGCGTACTACCTATCGAAGTACCTACATTATTATAATCCTACTATTGTGAATGAAACTGTAACCGAAAATCTACAAATAAACTTACCTTCGAAAGTAGGTACCTATAATTTATACCTAAAGTATATTATCACCTGTTTCAATAACCAAGATGCCAGCCATAGTGTTTACCTTGATTTTCTGTCGCCGGTACGTTATGGAAGTAACAGTTTTAATCAAATGAGTAGATACAGTAGATAGACAGGTAGTAGGTATGTTAAAATTGAACCAAGAATGGCGCTCCCTAAAACGCTGTTACTGTTTTGTCTTGTTTTAAGCTTGTAAATAACGTAATAACATTCGTTATTAATTAGTTCTGTCAACTAAAGAACGTAGTGAAGCGAAAAGAAAAATAGAGAAAATAGTCAATTTTTTTTTTCAATTTTTTCATGATTTTCATTTCGGTGATTTTATATAAAACTGAAACTGACTGTAAATTCAAAATATTTGTATTATGGCTAAATAAAGCAATGCAATCCTGAATGGGTATTCTCGTGAGACGTAGTAAACACTAAAATCCAGCAAGTACCTACTAATATTAGGTAGTCTATTTCAGTCAAAACTAAGATTAACATTCAGGCAAAAACTAGTCTCAAGGCCAGGAACACGATATTTATAAACCCCGGTACTTACCGATAAGACTTTTATATTTAGGTCACAAAAATTAAGGCGAATTCTTATTCCACCGGGGCGACTTCCCAACGCCTTTCGTAGTTTGGTCTGCCTGCTCATGCCAATATGATGAAAAAAGAGAGATAGATATGAAAACTTTTTTAAATAGAATATCGAGTCTTAACGGATTCGATTTGTTCAAGTAGAGATTTTCTTTTTACGTTTTATATGGGATCACATCCTTGAACTTTTAATTTTCTTGCTGTGTGCCATCAAACAGAGATATTGTTTTTTACATCGAATTTTTACACGTTGCGTATAGTTCCAAAATACTGGACTGTCCTGTCGATGACATTGACAGTGGGGCGCCACCGTCAATACCGGATCGCTGGTTCAGATTTTTGCCATGTTGGAAACCATATAGTTGAACGATGGTAGCGCCCCCCTGTCATTGAGTTTGGCGGGACAGTTCAGCGTGGGTCATCTATAGCATTCATTATGACATGACTACGTTATGACTACTTAAAGTAATTGAATCATTATATTTTTATTGTGTTTACTTTTAACCGCCTTCAACTAAAGGAAGAGTTTTTGGTATGTTTTGTTATGTTTGTTTACTAATTTTTCAATATCTTCTGTTTATATCATTGTAGAGTTTTTAACTTTTGCTAATTCAGCCACAATACAGTGTGTACCGCGCTTAGAATCGCGTCTGTCTAGTCTAGTACCTAGGTAGACAATGTAGGCATCCCGACTCAGACGGCGCCGGAAAGTAAAGTGACTGAATAAATATTTCAGGGTTCCGTAGGGACGTCAGAGACGTTAGATATTAGCCCCTTAATTAAGGCCTTAATTAAAACGTTGTTAGCAAGTGCATAGTTAACAGCTAGCACAAAATGTTGACACTTGGTAGCGGTCAGCTGGTCAATATGGAAATCATTTGGGGGAGGCCTATGTTCAGCAGTGAACGTCTTATGGCTTAAAATGATGATGATGACACAATGTTGAATTCGCTGAGAAATCAATATTCTTAGGTTTAAAGCATTCAAGTTCATAGATGTACGTGGGATCGATCGTACTCTCTCTCTTTTTCGGTCTCTTGACAAACAAAAAAATACAAAATCGAAACGCACAATTTAGGCGGTCTTATCAATAGAACGTGATCTCTTCGTTCGAAGTTCTAATTCTAATAATTCTAATCCTTCCAGTCCAGACAATCTAGTAGAGACAGGACAGTTTTGAGATAATATTGGAATGCTAGTGAGTGATTAATTTAAAATACTGTATTACATAATGTAGAGCCCACTTTACGGCTTTTCCATATTTACAGATTTCAAAGAAATATTTTATATTCATACTCATTCATAAGATTAAGGTCTTAGGAATCCGAAGAAAAATAAGTCATCGCCTATTAACTTACTTTCTGGGAAAGCGATAAGTTAAGTATTTTGATAAGATCTCTTACATTATATTAAAAGGTTATTATTGATTTTAATTTCATTGCCGGTGAGTTATCAGCGATCAAATAATCTGTCATTGTAGGAAGTTCGGAGTGACTTGATAAATGAATTACTCATTTGTAAATCGTTCATCAAATTATTCGTCATGACGGTTTTTGACGTCAACTTTTATCGATAAAGGTCAGCGCACACAGAGGCGGGAAACGCGGGAAAACGGTCGCTATTCGGGAAAAATATATTTTTTGGAATGTTAGTCTATAGTCTGGTCCGGGAGCACGTAGAATTTTGTCCAATGACACCAAGCGCTCGCACACTCACTGCGGGCGGCCGTCACACAGTCGCGACAGCAATATAATTACGCGCGAGCAATAAGGATGGGTAGCTTGGGGTCATTGGACAAAATTCTACGTGCTCCCGGACCAGACTACAGTTTGTTTAAAAACAGTCACATAGAAAGCGGACGCCTCCCGGAGCGATAGGCGTCACCGCCTCGCGGTGTGTGCGCTGACTTTATGGCTGAGTTGCACCACTAACTTTGACCGTAACTTTAACGATAACCGGTGCTTTTTGTATGGATTTTGACAGATTTTTGACGTTAGGCAAAGTTAAAGCACGGTTAAAGTAAGATGGTGCAACCCAGCCTAAAAAAGATAGTCGACAGCACATCAAAGTTACATTTTGTTGCAAAATCGTAGTTTTATTTGCATTAGATGGCATGGCAACGTGTTGACCCTGACGTGCAACATCGTTGGTTTTTCCGTTTAAAGTGAACCAACAATGTGTTATTCTTTGTAAGTTAATAAGTTGTTAACAGCATTTAAGGCGATTAGTGTCCTCAATCCGCGCCAAATGGGCATTTTGTAAAGCCTACTCCTCTTTTACTGCTGGACAGAAATAGTTGAAAAAAATATATGTTATACAACAGTTCAAGGACTACATTTGTGACGTTTGAATTTTCGCTACGCCTCTTTGTTTTGGATTAAAAAAATAAATACGGGACATCGATTTTTTACTTAAATTCCCTACTCCTCCAAAACGGCTAAGTTAATTTAAAAGATTTTTGCACGAATAGATTGGGTATTCTTTAATCTTTAAATGACACGTTGCGTTTTTCAATCGAACATTACTTTCATTCATAAATTTTACTTTTGATAAATTCCGAACGTTTTGCTGTTGAGGGGGCCTTCGCGGGGTGCGGGCGGCAGTCGGCCGCTGGCCTTCAGACGGGGAGGTTGTGTCACTCGCTGCAAACTGACATTAGCGATCAAAATGATTTTTTTCTTTGGCTAAGTTGCAC